TTTGGTTTGGTTTGGTTTGGTTTGGTTTGGTTTGGTTTGGTTTGGTTACCCCAGCTGTTGTTGAAGTATATCAATGACCCATGATGTAATCAGGACAACTGGGGACACAATCAGATCCTTAACAGGAAGTTCCTAGAGTCTGAAACAGAACCACATGAGTGGCCAGAACAGTAAACACTTGAGCTTATCCACATGAAAATTTACTGGGGCCATTAATACGCATTCCCTGTTGCTGCTTGCTTGTGTGTTCAGCGTATGGTTCTTTGCAGGAGGATGGTCGATATGAAGGCCCCACCTTGGCACATGCTGTGGAGTTGTTTGGTGGTAGGCGTTGGAGCACTAGAAACCCCAGCCCTGGGATGTCAGCAAAGAATGCTGAGAAGCCCAACATGCAGAGAAACAACACCCTGGGCATAAGCACCACCAAGAAGAAGAAGAAAATGCTCATGAGGGTAGAGTAAAGTCATTTATTCATCATCATACCCAGTCTTCTACCGTGGCCATGTGGCCTACATTACCATAAGCCACCTTAAGTCATTTGAGTTAGAGACAAAACAGATGATAAAACAATGGTAGCAGGGGCTTGCCACAAACCTCTCAGGTGCTGGGGTCAGTGTCAGGAATCAAGCAAACACCACCATGGAGAAACCAAAGTCCTTAAAAACTTGCATTGGCTTACACATGGTAAATATGAGTCATTATTAAGTCACCTGCAAAGCGCTGTATTAGTAGAGAAGATATGGGGCTGAGAGGTTGACAGTGACAGCTTCAGAGCAGCAGACACATGGTTGGTCTTGAAGTGCATATAGGAGTTTTCCAAACACAACACAAAGTACCTGCCTCAGAGGAGGGAGCAGAGAGGGGAAACAGTTCTGCTTATTCCTAAAGGTCTATGGAAGGCCAAAGCATAAGTTCCATGGCATGCAAAGAGGACTGGGGAAAAAAAAAGGTTGTAGAAGGCATGGTCGCTCACTCCTGTAACCCCAGCATTACAGTGAGTTCAAAGCCAGCCTGAGCTACAGAGTAAGACATGTCTCGAAATGAAATCAACCGAAAACAAAATAGAGAGAGATCACATTTATGAAGGCGATATGAATGATGAATGCTGTATATGAAACAAGACTAAGATAAGCAGCACTGTATATTATTGATTATATAACATATTTTCATTATGATATTTATCTCATAGCTATCTAAACAGTCTTTGTTCTTTCTACTCTATGCTCATGGGAGGTTCTTGATGGTTCATAGAACTTTATAGCTTCACATTGTGCATGTCCCCACAGACTCGAGGGTTGTGCATCCTTTTTTCAGCCTCCTTTTCTGGGGTCAGGGTGAGGGGAACGGTGCTTCACAGCGAAAAGCACGCTGGGTAAAATGACCTGATATCACTTGGGCAACCTTAACCTAGATCTTTACTGGTCTCACCAGAAAAAACAAGACTGAAGGACACAGGTTAGAAAGCAGAAACCTCTCTGAGCTAGGCATTCTGGGAGAATAATTCGGTTCAGGATCCATGGAGACATTTCTCTTCCCAGGGAGAGAGTGGAGAGGTGACGGACGATGAGATGGCTACCCGCAAGGCCAAAATGTACAGAGAGTGTCGAAGTCGGAGCGGCTCTGACCCTCAAGATGTCAATGAACAAGAAGAGTCGGGTAATGCAGTGTGCTCACTCTGAGCTTTCTTGTTTTACTTTTATGGGAAAAGTAAAGGTTTGACTTTGTACTATGATGTTAATTTGATGTCACAGGAATAATTTTTATGGCTCTTTTAAAAACATTCATGTGTGTGCACATACACGTGCAGGTGCCTTCAAAGGCCAGAATAGGGCATTGGATTCCCTAGAGCTGGAGTTGCAGGCAGTTGTGAGGTGTCTGATTCGGGAACTAGAAATGAAACGAGAATCTCCTGCAAGGCCGGCAAGTGCTCTTAGCTTCTGAGCCATCTCTCCAGCCCCTGGTGGGAATTCTTAAGATAATTTATTTATCTTGGTGAGATACGAAACCCAAGAGATATTCCTATAAGCGCATTCTACTTGAAAGAAAATTGTCATTGGCTTGCCGTTCTTGGTAGATAATATTAGCTATATAGGATACAACTGATTGGATGTTAGTGCCTTTAAAAATGTGCCTGGATGTTATGGCCACACCCACGACCAAGTCATTTATATATTCTTTGCTAAGGCCTTGGGCATCTGTGTACTTTTTTAAGCTCACAAGCGATGCTAGCTTGTAGCCAGCTGACACACACCAGACTGGCCCATTCATCAGAGTACTTTTATGCTTCTTACATAAAATCAGTTGTGTAGGTTGTTTTGATGATACTTAAGGGAAAGTAGGAACTAAGTCATCACTTCTTTTTTTTCCTTTGATCCCTGCAGAGGCCAATGTCATCACTAACCCACCCAACCCCCTCCATTCCAGAAGAGCCTACTCTTTGACCACCACTGGGTCCCCCAACTTGGCTACCGGGATGTCATCTCCCATCAGGCCAGTCTCTTCCCCTGTGCTGTCTTCTTCAAACAAGAGTCCATCCAGGTGGGGCCTTAACATGATGAAAGAGAGGGAATCTCTACATCACTCCAGCTATATGGAAGGGCCTATGTCTTGCTCTGTGTGCAAAGTCTGACTCTAGTTCTAACTCACAGCTAAAGTGAAATCCAAAAAAGCCCTAATTGAAAATTATTCTGATTTTCCTGAATCTGTCTCTCATATTGCTGTAATACCTTCTAATTATTTGAGAGGGTAACCTTCTAAGGTCAGAGACAGTCATCAAAAACTAAGTAACCTTCTAAGGTCAGAGACAGTCATCAAAAACTAAGTCATGCTTCTCTAAATCTGCATTGTCTAGCCGACTAGCCACTAACTACCTGTAGGCATGTAATATCAAGCATCAATTATTCAAAATTAACTTAAACTGGAAAGTCAGTTCCTCAGTCACATTTTCACTGCACTGTGACCAAGGGTGGCTAATGACTCCTGAGCTGAATGCTGCAGCTAGATAGAGAACATGTGTGTCCCTGCAGCAAAGAACATGTGTGTCTTCACAGCAGACAGAGAACATGTGTGTCCCTGCAGCAGAGAACATGTATATCCTTGCAGCAGACAAAGAACATGTATGTCATTGCAGCAGATAGAGGACATGTGTGTCCCTGCAGCAGACAGAGAACATGTGTGTCCTTGCAGCAGATAAAGAACATGTGTGTCCCTGCAGCAGATAGAGGGCATGTGTGTCCCTGTAGCAAATAGAGGACATGTGTTCTGCATTAAGTTCTTTCAGGTAGCACCATGCTAAGGGGAAACACACTTGAGTGTGAGCTGCCTGACCTTACTGATAATTGAGATATGTGTCAGACTTTTCTGACATGTGATGGAAGCTGTGCTTGCCTGGAGAAGTAAATGTAAGTAAAGCAAATTGGAAGTGTTTATATCACCCCAAAGCTGGGACTGTTGCAAATGATGGTGTAAGGACTCTAGACATTAAAGAAGAAGAAGGAGAAAGAGAAGGAGACATGAAGGGGAAGAAGGAGAAAGAGAAGGAGACATGAAGGAGAAG